CTCTCTCTCTCTCTCTTTCTCTCTCTCTCTCTCTCTCTCCCTCTCCCTCTCTTCCATCACTTCGATCGGCGCCGAAGAAAAAACACTTCAAAAATCAATTCAATCACTTGTAATGTTATGACAAATGAAATGTCTGTTTATAATACAGAGTGTATTGTCTATTATTGATAAATTCACTCACGAGAGATGTATTACCGACTCTCGCAGATACACATCACTATACAAATCGCTTAATTTGCATCTCTCTCTCTCCCTATTCATTGCTCTCTCCCATTCCCTGACATCTCTAAATCTCATATAGTACTACATTTTCTGTGTTTTTATGTATTTCCTATAATATTATATTATATAATATTTACTGTCAAACACACGCAACTCATATGAATGGCAACAATAGCTTCGCTCGACTAATAGGGATATAAAAATTGAATTTTCTATTTTGCAAAACAAGAAATTTTCATTATTTTTGTTTTCAAACATAGGGTTGGACTCGTTATACACATAATAAACTGATATATAAATAATAATAATGAAAAAACAGATTAAATTATAATAAAATTAATGACTTAATGTATGCTCGCTTCGAGAGGCATATGATATGCATGTATATCATAGATAGGGAGGGGTTGGGTGGGAGTGAGGTGTATGGAGACTATCTTTGAGAAAATAGGGTTAATTTTTATACAACAAAAGCTCTATTAAATAGTGCATACAATTCATAATCAAAAAACAACACAAATTGAGATACATATCGAGACAAATATCTTTATTCATAGCAAATATATTTTAGATATGAATTTGAAATTTAAAAAAAAGTTTTTTTCAATTCATTATATATTTTTTGAATCAATGAATAATTGAGTGATTTCTTGATCCCAATCCTCATTATATTCTTCCATACAATGCATTCATAATTAATGTTTAAATCAAATGCGATATTAATAATAAATTTATAAGTTTTTGTTAGTTTTATATTTTTGCTTTTACTTTAAGATTGAGATTCAATCTATGATTTTGTGGATCAAATACTGGGAGTATATTAATGTAGAGATCGCTTGTTATCTATTTATTAATGAATACCCCATAGAGTGTACCAGAAATCTGTTATCTGATATATATTTTGTGTGTTTGTTATATAACTTTACTGTGTATTAAAAAGTTACATAAATATATTATTATTAATGCATCGGAATAATTATGTTTTCTGTATTAATAAGTCTTATCTGTTATATATAATGAGCTCTGGATTTGAGTTTTCACTTGAATTTATATAAATCACTGCAACACTAGATATACAACCGAAAAGATTTTATACACAAAACACAGAAAAATAAAATAATTTAATTTTAAATAATTAATTCGCAAAACAAAAAACGATTTCATCGTTAATTTTATTTATTTATTTGGATTCTCTGAACGTATATAAAAAACATATGAAAAATGTTTTATAAATTCAAAACGTTAAGAGAAAAATAGCTTTTTCTTTTGATTACGAGCTCTCTCTCTCTCTCTCTCTCTCTCTCGCAAATTACATGAAAGCCCAGCACCAGAAGGTAAAAACCTGTTGATCTCTCTCTCTCTCTCTCTCTCTCTCTCTCTCTCTCGGAATTGAGGCGAAAAATATCATTAAAAGGGCTTTATTTTTGTCTACAAAATGCAAAATCAATTAACGATCTGAGTTAATGGTATGCATTCTTCGGATCGTTAATTGATCCCAACACAAGAGTTTATACATAAACTATGCATTGAATAAAGCATTTCATTTGAATATTAAATTGAATACTTATTTATAAATAAATTACTTTTAATTAAACGAGAAAATTGTATTCAATCCTTAAAACTCATTATAACTCTAAGAGTTTGTCTCACAATTGAATTGAATTTCTAAAAGCATTACTAAAAGTAACAAAAAATAATAATACTATTAAAATAAATTGATTTTTTAAACAACTTTATTGTTTATCTCAAACGCACAGACATTTCCGCACCGAAGACACCATCGGATTGTAGGCCAGACATGACAACCGCCGGCACCTGCGCTAAGAAAGCGGACAAATGCCGACACAATAGCGTCCGGTTCGCCATCCGTGACAAGTCTTTAGACAGAAATCTATTGAGAAAATTGGATCTAAAGCCAATTTATATGCAAACGATTGACCGTAAATACGGCACCGATAGGAGGGCGACGACAGCCGCGGCCACTGTCGGCACCGGCGGTATGTCTGGCTCTCAAAGTGTGATGGATTTGCGGTCTAATAACGTGAATATCACGACTCCCGGCGCCGCCACTCTTCGCGACGATCACAGCACACGTCCCGACGATTTACCCGTCGATACGTTGAGAAGTAAGAAGAGACTCAAACGGCTGTTAGTGGGCTCCAGAAAGTTCTCCTCCTTTCACTCCCATCACAATCTCATGTCATTAGTGAACAGCTCTGGTGTCACCACTCCTGGCGCTGCCGGTGCTGGCGATGGTCTGCACAGCACATCATTATCGACACAGTTGTGCTCAAACACATTGAAAGACGCCATCGATTATAAGCTGAAGACAGAGGCCATTGATCTGACGGATGAGCCCTATTCTGATCGAGTAATTTCATTAACAATTCGTTTGATTTTTGTCTGTTTTTGTGCTTTTTTGGTGATCTTTTGATCTCTTGTTTTAATGAAAATATAATTTTCTCATTTAAATACTAATTGCGAAGAAATATAATGAAAAACTTTTTAATTTTAACTTTTTTGTTTGTTTACTCATATGATTATTACAATATGTGCTCAAAATTTTACATTATTTTCGCAAAATAGTAATTATAAAATTTTGTAGTTATTTTTCAGTACAAAAAGTTAATAATCATATATTTCTCACATAAATGGCACAAAAAATAAGACAATTTTAATTATAGCTTATAGTAAACGCATAATAACTAATAGTATAAGCTTTTTATAAAAACTAAATCTCAATTAAATTTAACTATATTTACATAAATCACACAAAAAACTAAACCCATTGTTATTATAGGCGGGCTTTTGCGGAATACCACCGGCGCTGATCCAACGGTACGCCGACGAGTGTCAACGCGACACATACGAAGTGGCCGACGGTCTGGACAGGGCTCGCATGCGGGCCCTCTCGGCTAAGGGTCGCCGGGGAGTACCCAACGACTATTTGGGCGACTCTTGCGTCGGCCCACTCATCGATGTGGCCAACTATGACAGTCTACACCTATGGCTCGTATCCCTGGGTCTACCCATGTATGAGCGATGTCTGGTTGGGGCGGGCGTTGACACCCTATACCGGGTGTCCAAACTTCGGGAGACAGATATTGTTAACAAGTGTGGCATTAGAGACAAACGTCACGTCAGGATACTTACTAATGCTATCGGAGCACTACATCTCAGTGTATAGACTCTCTGTCCACCCGTTTTGATGACTACCCGTCCCCTCATATAATGAATTTCCTATTGATTTGATGTAAAATATAGTTTATTAGAGATTTTTATTGTTTTGTTTGCTTTGTCTGTATTTACGGCTCAATTC